ACCGGCAGCTCGTAGCACTCCGGGCCCGTCTCCGTGCCCAGGGTGCTGCGGCGGGGGGAAAATGCACGTTGGGCACCACCGGCGGGCGTCCAGGTAAGGAAAACACCCACTGTTCCTCATTTTTTCCCTTCCACCCCCCCCAAAATGCATGTTTTTTTTCTTTTTTTCTTTTGCTGGGCTGCAAAATGCTGCTTGGCATTGGCCAGTGGAAAGCACCAAAACTTCCCTTTGGAGGGAGAAAACCCGGACGCTTCCAGTGCTGCCGCATGCACGGAGGATGCTGGGCTGGAGCATCCGCAGGGATGCGGGATCCCCCCAAGGACACGAGATTCCCCCAAGGATGCGGGATCCCCCCCAGGCCAAGGCTGTCCCTCCCACCCCAGCACCGCCACTCACAACTGGAAGCTCTCGTTGTACTTGGGCGCCCAGCTGTTGTTCTTGGACTTGGTGGCGAATTTCCTCTTCTTGTCACTCAGGTGGGGCCCGATGATGTTGACCTCGATGAAGGGCCGGAAGATGCCCGACGTTTGCCACTTGAGGTCGTTGGCGGCCACCACTGCGAGGAAGAGGCTGGTGAGACGCAGGAGGGCCCTAGGGGACGGCCCCACGGCCCCTCCTGCTACGCCGCCCACCTTTGACGGTGACTTTGTGCTCTCCGGTGCCCGGGTGGGTGAGCAGCTCCACGTGGATGGAGACCTCGCCGACGGGGTCGTCCACACCAGAGCCTGCGTGGCCAGCAGGGACGCGTGAGTGTGATGGCGCCGGAGGGGACAGGTCACCAGGCAAGGTGGCATCAAGGTGCCCCGTGGTGGCCCTGCTCTCCGCACTGCTGGGAGGGCCCCTCTTTCCCCATCCCATGTTTTGGCCTTGGGAAAGCGCCCCCTTGCCTGGGTGGCAGTGAGCAGGGACGGTGGCAGGTGCCAGTCCTTGCAGCTGGTTGTCACCGCTCAGTGCAAGGACGGGGACATGTCGCATGGCACCCAGGCGTGTTGGTGCTCTTTGCACCACCAGCTCTGCCCCAGGTCTGCGCTGGGCAGGAGGGACCCGAATGCCACGCGTGCCACCCATGACTCCACCAGGGACCTCTCCCAGGTCCCCTCCATCTCGGGGCGGGGGCGGGCCACACCAAGCCCTGGTCCCCTCCCCGTGCACCCAGTGTAGGGGACACCTGGGTGACCTGCGCCCAGGAGCATCCTCCCACCCACCACCCCGCGCCGTGCATGCAGCCATGGGTGAAGGAGGGCGGCAAGGCAGAGGGACGGGTGAAGGGACAAGTCAGGCCAAGGTGGGGACATCAAACCAAGAGCAGCAAAAAAGCCCCGCGCTGGGGAATGGGGCAAGGAAAAGACCCCAGCGGGAAGGAAATAACAGTGTGAAGGAGGCCACGTCCCCGCACGTCACATGGTGCCACCAGCCCGGGGACACACAGGTGTCCCTGGAGCGGGGCAGGCACCCTCTGCTCTCCATCCTCTGCCTGATGGGGTCACCCCATCCCCAGTGGGCACCCTGTCCCCCCCCGGCCGGTGCCACATGCTGAGCCGAGATGGAGGCGATGGAGGGGGGTCCAAGCATGGGTGCAGAGACCCCCGCAGCGGGGGTGGCCACGCAGGGCCAGCGGGCGCCCCAGTCGCACGAAGGGCACAGAGCAGGGCTAGTAAAGGTCCTGCTGGCAACAGGGGTGGGCAACGGCGAGGGGGGACACTGGCCACCCCGGGTGGGGGGGACCCACCACCCCAAAGGGCCACACGGGGCTGGCCTTGGCCACCAGGGAGGGTGCCCCCTACGCAGGGTCCCTGGGTGCCCCATGTGGTGGCACTAGTGGGTGGCACCGGCCCAGGTGGCATCGCCCGTGCCCAATTCCTCCGAAGTGGGGACATGGGGGGCCCGGTGGGGCCGTGGCTCTGCCTGGCCCTGCGGGGACAGTTACTAGCCCTGCTGGGATGGGTACTAGCCCAGGCAGACGGCGGCAGGCAAGGGGCTGGCGCGGGGGAGCGTCACACGTACCCTTCTCAGGATAAATTTCTTCACTAAGGGTAAACCTAACCCCTTTGCCACCGTGCACTAGTAGGAAGGCGAGAGAGAGAGACAGAGACACAGGGCAAAAAAACAGTGGAAGGAAAAAGGAGGAGAGAGAGAGAGAGAGAGACACAGCGAGCGGCGGGAAGAAGAGAGCAAGAAGAGGGAGGAAAAACACAGAGAAGGACACTGGCCACCCCGGGGGGGGGGGACCCACCACCCCAAAGGGCCACACGGGGCTGGCCTTGGCCACCAGGGAGGGTGCCCCCTACGCAGGGTCCCTGGGTGCCCCATGTGGTGGCACTAGTGGGTGGCACCGGCCCAGGTGGCATCGCCCGTGCCCAATTCCTCCGAAGTGGGGACATGGGGGACCCGGTGGGGCCGCGGCTCTGCCTGGCCCTGCGGGGACAGTTACTAGCCCTGCTGGGATGGGTACTAGCCCAGGCAGACGGCGGCAGGCAAGGGGCTGGCGCGGGGGAGCGTCACACGTACCCTTCTCAGGATAAATTTCTTCACTAAGGGTAAACCTAACCCCTTTGCCACCGTGCACTAGTAGGAAGGCGAGAGAGAGAGACAGAGACACAGGGCAAAAAAACAGTGGAAGGAAAAAGGAGGAGAGAGAGAGAGAGAGAGACACAGCGAGCGGCGGGGAGAAGAGAGCGAGAAGAGGGAGGAAAAACACAGAGAAGAGAAAGAGAGAGGTCAGATCTCGCAGACAGACGCACGGCCGAGCAGCCGGACGACACTGCAGAAGACGGAAGCGCCGGGCGCCGCGGCACCGCCGGGCGGCACACACAGCATGGACGGCCCTGCACACACAGCCAAGCGCCCAGACGCACACAAGCCCGGGCGAGGGACACGGGGAGGTGGCACCACGTGCCGTGGACGGTGACACGTGCCTGGGGCCACAACGGGGGCTGGCAGTGAGACCATGGGGACGGTGACATGGGGACGGTGACGGGGCTGCTTGGTGGCAACCACAGCAGCGGGGGGGGGAGGGGGGGCAAACATCCCCTTGGTCCCCCCCGCCTTGTCCCTTGTGTCCCATCATGATGGACACTGGCTGCTGTCCCCAAGCCCCACTGCGACAGGGCCCTGGGTGGCCCAAGGGGACACCGAGAGCAAGTGGCATGTCCTACCCTGCGAGGCCTGGGTCTGCACGAAGGTTTTGATGAGGAGGTCGGTGGCCTGCGTGTAGAGGGACAGGGCGTAGCGCAGCGACTGCAGGTCGGGGCTCTTCTCCAGGAAGGTCTTCTTGAGCCCCACGCCACCCGCATGGAAGTATTGCTGCAAGAAGGGCCCCGCAGGCTGCTCAGCACCCCGGGGTCCCTGTGGAGCCCCCAGGGCCACCACGAGCCCCAGGTGGGTGCCATGCTCGGGGGTGACATGCCCGGGGTCCCACCTTGATGGTGTCCAGCGCCAGCTCCACCACCGCGCACTGCTTGGGGGTCAGGCTCTTGGCTTCCTCCCGCACCATGTGGTCCTGCAAGGGACAAGGCTGCGCTCAGAGCCGCGGCGGGGGACAAGGCCGCTGCTCCCCCACGCTGGCACCATGCCGGCCGCCCTCACCTTCAGCTTGGAGAGCTGGCCCAGCTCCTTGGCCGCATTGAAGATCATCTGGGTGCCCTGCAGAGAGCAAAGAGACAGGGACAGGGACGGTGAGCACCGCGGGTGCGAGCGGGAGCAGCCGGGCTGCCTGCCGGCCGTGCCAACCTGGAGGGCGCTGGTGCATCCCCCACCTCCGCCCAACACCTGCATTTGCGGCTCGGTGCCCAGGACGGGAGCCCGGAGCAGCCGCCAGCCGGGATGCTGCACGAGCAGCTCCACTCCGGGTCCCGCTCGGTGCCCGGAGCCGCGGGGCCCAGCGCAGCCGGGCATGGGGGGACACGGGGACCCGGCAGGGACCCCCGAGGACGGCCGGGCAGGAGGGCAGGGGTGGGCACAGCCCCTGGTGCCACCTGCACAGCCCCCGGCCCCTGTGCCCAGGGAATACAGCACCCAAAGGGGTGTCCAGGGCTGGGCAGCGACACGGTGCCCATTTGTGCCCCCCATTAAATCTTTCCTTTCTGCCCCCTCCTTTGGTTCCCATTACCGCCACCCCCTTGCTGGCCCTGGTCCCCCAGTAGGCTGGGAGCTGGGGACACAAGTGTCCCCTGAACAGAGCCCGATGGGACACGGTACAGAGCTGCCCCCCACGCCGCAGAGCAAGGGACAGCGGCCGGGGCGAAGGGACGGCGGAGGCGGGAGCGGAGGCGAGTGGGGAGGAGAAGATCTGTGTCCTTACTTCAGTGTGACTGGGCAGCTTCACCCTGCTCTGCAAAGAGAACAGCAAGGGACAGTTATTGGTGGCCCTGGCAGCCCCCGCGTCTGGGCCCTGGTGGCCGATGGGGACACTGGCACCAGTTGGCAGCTGCAAAGCGTCAGCCCAGGGTGTTCGCTGGCATCCGGCCTCCCCGCGGCTGCTTAATGCCCCCGCCCGGGCCACCCTGTGATGAGAGTGCTAGGG